AGATGTTTAGCTAAACCTATTGACATAAGTTGATGGGACTGACCAGATTAGAACCTTTATCATGATGTGATATAGACGACAGTCCAGGGCTCCCCTGTCATGCAGGCAAGCTGACGCATCACCAGGTCAGGAATTAACCCTCACCTCAGATAACAAAGAGCAAGTCACTGAGAACTGGCCTGCTTTTAATGCAGTGGGACAGGTTAAGAAATAAGGTTTTAATATCTTTTTAGTGGTCAATTACAGTTGAAAATTAAATTTACTAGGAAGTGATGTTTTTGGTTAGGCATATATGTGCATGTGTGCACTTACTCATGTGTGCTTTTTGTCTTCAAATATAAAATAACAATTCCTGTTTGCAGAGAAGGCAGATGTGCTCCTCCTCAGGGCTGGACTGCCTTCACATTTCCATCTCCAGCTCTCGGAAATTGAGTTCCATGAGATTATCGGCTCAGGTAACCTAAAAAATTCAGGCCTGCTATAGTGTAATGAGTCCAAGATAATGCGTGTTTAATTATTTCTCTTAATTTCAGGTTCTTTTGGGAAGGTCTATAAGGGACGATGCAGAAACAAAATAGTGGCTATAAAACGGTAAGCAAGCAAACAGAAAAATTAGCATCTGGGTGGACTTGTGCACTTTGAAAATCACAGGCAGGGCAGCCCACCTGTTTGGAGCTACCTGCTGACCAAGGGTCTCCTGTTGCTGCCATTTCTAGTTATCGAGCCAACACCTACTGCTCCAAGTCAGATGTGGATATGTTTTGCCGAGAGGTGTCCATTCTCTGCCAGCTCAACCACCCTTGTGTCATTCAGTTTGTGGGCGCCTGCTTGAATGATCCCAGCCAGTTTGCCATTGTCACTCAGTACATCTCAGGGGGTTCTCTGTTCTCCCTCCTTCATGAACAGAAGAGGTAGGTGGCTCTTGTTTTGGTGACTCCTTGGACATGTTGCTAAAGTTACTCACGCACCACCACAGAGGCTTTCCGACTGGGTGGATCTTCACCCTCTGAAATCTCTGGGTGCTGCCAAGTATAGCATTTTAAATATGGCTGCTAATTTATGCTTAATAATTATGTTTCATTGAATAGAAACACCCTGTGCCTTCTTAACAAGAATTCAGTTGAAGGTAACAAATTCAAGAAATTTAAATCGGCAACTGAAGCTTAAAATAATTAGGCTAAATTTGACACACCAATAAAGCAGATATATGTGAGCTCAGAATAAAATAATTCCCAGGGGTTACAGTATTCATAAAAGAAACTTTTAGGAAAGAATGATCTTGACCAAATCTAATTTGAATTCACTTCCTACATGGATGCATACAATAATTAGGATGTGGTTTCACTCACTGATTAAAAATAGATTCCATTTTTTCATTGTTACAAAGAAATGATTATAATATTACCAATAAGTTATAAAGCCAAATGTAATATTTTAAAGAAGAGGTGCTATATTTTTGAGTAGATCTATAATTAAGCATTTTATGATATATAAAACTATTTTTTAGATATGTTGAATTTTTAGCAGAACATCAAGAAAGGAAATGGACTGAAATTACACAGAGTAACAAGTCTCGAACACCATTTATTTTAGGAAGATATGGTATTGCCTCGACCATTTCACCTCCATTAAATCTATTTTTAAATTCTAGGATTCTTGATTTGCAGTCTAAACTAATTATTGCAGTAGATGTTGCCAAAGGCATGGAGTACCTTCACAACCTGACACAGCCAATTATACACCGTGACTTGAACAGGTATTTTTTTCCCTAAATAATAAACTTATAATTGCATAACTGACTAAGAGTCTAAGATAGATTTCCATGAAGATGCATTTTAGATTTATTGCAGATCAGGGTCCTCTGTGGGTAAGAAGGCAGGTGACCATGAGCCTAAGTGATAGAGTTTTGCCGTTGACTTTTATGAGAATAGAAGGATGTATAATTCCTTATCATGGATCTTTCAAGTCTATAAAGAATTTCTAGACAGAGAGTGATGTCTGTTACGATGCACCAGCTGACTTATTCCTGGGTGAGAATATCCACACACAGACCATCTAACTGATTACGTTCTAGTGCTCACGTAACAGAAGTCCTGCATAACAGCCCACTCCAACTCTCATGGGATCCTTGGCAACACTGTTTTTATGATTCTCTAATATAATTCAGTCATCACGAGTGACTTCAAGTTTTCCAAACAATTATTTTTATTTATTCTCATTTTAAAAATAAATAAGTGGATAAATTAGTTAATATAACATATTTGTTGATTGCTTGCTGTGTCACAAGGACCCTGAGGCCTTCAGCCACATGTGGCCTTCCAGATCCTCAAGTGTGGCCCCTCGACTGAATGCAGATTTTTCAGAACAAATCCTTTAAGTAAAGGGGATTCAGTCAAAAAGCTCCGCTCAAAGATCCAGAAGACCACATTTGGCCCCAAGGCCATGGACACAGCAAATAATGACAGACCAAAGCATTTTGTCAAGAAGACTTTAGAGCAGAATAAAGTATTTCCCAAGTGTCCCTGACCATACAAATCATCTGGGGGCCCTCATTAAAAACAAAACATAACAAACAAACAAACAAACAAAAAACAGATTCAAAGACTGCCAATTAATTCTAATGATCAAGCAAGGAGAGAAAACTTGGCTCTCGGACAATCATTCTCAACTATGGCTGCACAGAATCTACAAGAGCACTTTGAGAAAATCTTGATGCTGATTAAATCAAACTCTTCAGGTGTGGGGCCCAGACACCACATTTTGAGAGCAGGCACTCCAGGTCAAGGAGTAACAGTGCATTTGCAGTCAAGGTTGAGCACTACTTTGTAGCC